TGTAGTCCCAGCTACTCAGGAGGCTGAGGCAGGAGAATCTCTTGAACTTGGGAGGTGGAGGTTGCAGTGAGCTGAGGTGGCATCACCGCACCCCAGCCTGGGCGACAGAGCAAAGCTCCACCTCAAAATAAAAAAAAATAAAAGAAAAAGAAAATTGCCATTAAAAAGTCTACATTTAAGATCATAAAGCATCTAAATATGCCTTATTTCATTTTAGAAATAAATCTAATTATAATTTATTTCTTTGCATATGATTAAGAAACCTCTATTGTTCTACCACACATATATACATACATAAAACGTAAGACATGACAAATTTTTTGTAAAATAGTGGTAAGTCATGAAAGCAGTATATAAAATTGCATGTGCATTAAAAACATAACTATATATTTCCAAATGATTAGATTATTAGATGTGTTTTTGAGACTGAGCTCTTCAGTGTCTTAAAAATCACTTTTGTATTTTACTATTTTTGTTGAATTGGCATGTGAAACTTTTATAGTGGACCCACATTCAAACTTTCACAAGTCCAATTTGAAATGAGGAATAAAGCTATAAACTGTTACTATTACTTGCATGTACACATTGAGTATCCCATATGAAATGCTTGGGACCAGAACTATTTTGGATTTCAGATTTTTTTCAGACTATGAATATTTACATATATGTAATGAGATATCTTGGGGATGGGTCCCAAGTCTACACTCAAAATTCATTTATGTTCCATATATATCTTATATCCATAGCCTGAACTTAATTTTATATAATATTTGAAATAATTTTGTGCATGAAGCAAAGTTTGTCTTAAGTACTATAATGTGTGGAATTTTCCACTTGTAACATCATGTTGCTGCTCAAAAAGTTTTGGATTTTGGACCACTTCAGATTTCAGATTTTTGAATTAGGTACGCTCAATCTGTATTAGAAATGGCATTGCAGTAGAAAACAAATATATGCTTTTTAGTACATATTGTTTAGAAAAAAAGAAAACAAAATAAATTTAAGAAAGCTGCTGTAGCATAAGAGGCAAAAAATAATATTTATATAAATTCTAAATTAATCACAAAATTCAGTGTTTATTGATAATGCTCCTCAATAAATTTAGAAGCAAATAATCCAGCATTTGTTTTTTAACTTCATTATCATCATCTGAAGTTATATTACATATTAATACACCTAATACACACCTAAATGAAATTTTATGCCAGAATGCCAACTAGTGGCTAATAATGTAGCAAAACTATTTGGACTAAAAATTTGCAAAACTAGATCTATTTGTGTTCTAATATAGGCTGAAAGACTTCATGTGCTGGCTTACCAGCAAAACAAAGGCTGGATGGAGACATTCTTTTTTTTTTTTTTTTTTTAATTTGAGATGGAGTTTCACTCTTGCCCAGGCTGCAGTGCAATGGTGCAGTCTCAGCTCAGTGCAACCTCTGCCTCCTGGGTTCAACCAGTTCTCCTGTCTCAGCCTAACTGGGATTACAGGCGCCCGCCACCATGCCCGGCTAATTTTTTTTATTAGAGACAGGGTTTCACCATGTAGGTCAGGCTGATCTTGAATGCCTGACCTTAGGTAATCCACTCACCTTAGCCTCCCAAAGTGCTGAGATTATAGGTGTGAGTCACCGCACCAGGCCAAGAATTCTTTATTATCTTTTCTGGACTCAAATTATTAATGAGACATTTCAGAATTTCATGTTTGGAGAAACAGAAGGCAGAGGGGAATTTATAATTTATCCTATGGTAGGAAAGGTGCATACAAGTAACTTACCTAGGCAAATTTTTATTTGCAGGTGAAGGGTCTTTTTCCAACCAGCTTTCATACAGTGATTTACTCTCAAACCCACCATCAGGGCTGGGGATCTAGAAAGACAAATCAAATACTGGAAATCAGGGATAGAAACAACTATATTTATGTCAAAAGAAAACTATATGTGATTTGTCATCAATTTCTACTTTTAATGACATGTTCATATATATTTATATACATGTATATATAAGTTCCTTTATAGAAAAATTATTTTTGCAAATGGCAAGAAATAAATCTAGCCCAAATTATTGTTCATTCATGATGCCTACCTGTGTTGGAAATTTTGCCATGTACCTAAGATGTAATTTCCTGCTTATTTTGGTGAACTTTTAAAGAGCATTTAAAATTTTTACAATGTCATCATTTTAATGTTTGGCAGCTTAGATTTCTGTTAGTGGCAATATATTGGAGAATAATTCAGATATAACATTTGCTTTTGTAAATTGTTTTTGCCTAATAAGACCTACAAAGCAGTCTTAGAACAATAGAGGTGACATAATTTGAAGCCCGTCTTAACCTTTAAGTCTTGGTTTTGCAGGGCAGGCAGGGTTTAGTGGGGCATTATTCTTTAGAAAGTCTTATACAAAGTTAAAATTTTATGGATTTTTTTTAAAAAGGTCTACATTACCTCAGATTACTACTTAGGAATTTTAAGAGCTCCTATGTGTGTGTGTATATATATAAACATTTTTATTTCTTTCATTAAAGTACTTTTACAAACTTATACTTGCTTTGTCTTTTGACACTCTAAGAAGAGCAGGGCCATGTGATGGAAACATTGTGGGCTGTGGACTGTGGAGTCCATCTGGTCTATTTTAAATCTGGACTACTACACATATTGGTCGTATTTTATTTGCTTGTTTGTTTATAACCCTGATTTGCTCAAAAACAGATCCAAGGCAGACTCTACCTAACTAACTGTGAAAGGATTATAACTTGGTGAATCGCTTCCTCTCTTTGAACCTTAGTCTTCTCACCTGTGAAAATGGGGATAGTGGTACCTTTCTTAACATAAGCATCTGATATTTTCTCTGGCCTTTAGAGAGAGTTGGTTATTCTAACTTCTGTGCCACTATACTTAAAATGTTTTCTATAGATATTTACTACGCTCTGAACTCAGAAGAGAAATGCGGAAAAAGAGACGTAGTTTCTTCCCTCTTGGACCTCACAATTAAATCTAATTGCGATACACACATCAAATACAATTTTTAATACAAAATTATAATAAGCATTTGAAAATAAAATATCAAAGTGCTATACAGAGATGTGGATAGGGGATAGGAGATAGATGTGTCTCTAGGTAAGGCCCTTCTGAGAAAATGGCAATTAAATTTAAGAGCATCTAATAAAGATGTTGGATACTGCCACGTGTTTTTGAACAATTTCCCTGTTTCAATCTCATCCCACTTATTTAGAGGCACAAACGTGTTGCGTTTACTGATAACACAAGCCCACATCAGCCTTCAAGTAGAAGATAACAGTGGTAAATCTGCCTTCTTCCATAGAATAATGGTAGGGCTGGGAAGTGGTCTCTTGCCCTTAGCTTAATATGAATGAGATGGTACTTTATCACTGCATATAGGATCCACAGCTTAGAAATAGCTTTGGCACTGCACATCCTTCCCTACCAATGTGCAGCAGCTGCAGAGATGTTCTGCTCATTTCTAGCCAGCTAACTGGGTTCTATTCTTCACTCTGCTCCTGCCAATTTATAATGGCTGAGAGAGATTCTGTTCCAGTTTCTACATCCTGCTTGGATTGAATTCCCAGTAAAATCCTCTTCATTTTCTTAATCATACTGTCTCCATCTAGTACTAATCAGAAATCACATCCCTTTGACCTAGGCAATCAAGATTAGTTCCCCCCACCCCGAGAGTCAGGGTTTTGCTGTGGCTTGCACTCCTGGGCTCAGATGATCCTACTGCCTCAGTGGGAACTATAGGCATGTGCCACCATACTCGGCAATGTCAGTCTTATCTCAGCTATATGCATTGTCAGAATTGATAGCCCTCCTCTTATTTAGCAACACTTTTCCCCATTTCTTGCTCCAGTAGGCAGCCGCCTTTCTCTCCAAGCTCAGTCTTGTCTCTCATTCCTACCCTATCCTCACGTCACAAATATGGCTTGACTATTTGTGCTAATATATACTAGGATTAATAAAATTGTAATAATCAGTTTATAGGAGAGTAAAAACAAGTCTCTTTTGTCTACTGGGTCTTAGTATGCCCATAGATAAACATTTATCTTTTTACAAAGGGGCAAAGACATCAACTTCTATCAACCGCCAAATTCTTATCATTCCTGACATCAAGGGCAGGGATCATCTCTCTAGGACAGCACAAACCATAAACTCCTGTTCCAAAAAGTGTTCTCTCAGTAAAGATTTTCTTTTCAGCTGGTTTCTATATAAGATGCTTTTATGGAACATTTCAATGAAAGGTTTAAAGACATTAGCTACCCAAGATGGTTAGAGCATTGTCATTAGGAAAATAAGAGGAGTTTCATTTGGAAAACTAGTTTTTAAAGACATTAACTCAAAAAGAGATGGGTAAGACTAAGAAGGATTAGGAAATATTAACAGTACCCAGAGAGAAGTGATAGCTACTTCATATTGTTATCTAAGGCTGACCTTGGAGCAAACATTTTGACAGGACAATTCTTTCACAAGGAACTATTTAAATGATGCTCACAGATATTAAATGAGTAGATTGTAGAAGTTTTAAGGATTCAGAGTGCTTTAGATTTTGGAGCTCTTTTATATCTATAACTCATTTAATATTTATAAAATTATTATTTATAAATTACTGGGAGATTAGCAAGCTTGCAGAATTATTTCCCTTTTGCCTTTAGACTTGCAACTACTTAATGTATTCACTACACTGATATAAAACAATGAACAACTTTGTTAGAAATTCTTTAATTATTTTTTTCATAACAGATTTCTGAACTCCTTGACCCATTTGTTATGCCCCATTTCTTACCATCTTCCCACTATCGCCTTTTGCTTGGCAATGCTGAGCTATCTACAGATCGGGAAATATGTTCTTTCATACTTCCACATCTTTTTAAATACTGTGTCCTCTGCTTAGAATACCCTCTCCCTTACTTCTACATCCCTTCATTTGACAGTCCAAGCATCAGTGACTCTGTAAACCTCTTATGCTCCTCACCGTCCCCCAGCCACCCCAGGATTTCATATTCTCTATTCCCTAACTTTTCTCCATCATACATGGTATCAAATAGTCTAGTGAACTCTGATTCCTCTTTTACCAGTCTGTGTCCTCTATAGACTACAAAGTCTTTGAATTCAGTGACCTTGTCCTTTTATCACTATTGCTGCTATAATTCATTTTATAGAGCCTAACATATAGTGACCACTCAATGAATATTTGTTGAATGAGTGAATGAGTAGCTAAGAGAGTTTTTGAACCCCAGGCCATTGTATTCTAGCTCAGTGTTCTTTCTGTTATATCAAATACCTCTACCAGATAAATACATATTGTAACTATTTACACAATTATTAATAAAGACTATTACTAGAACAAAGAAGCTGGTGATACTGTCTTCTTAGTTATATCATATAGGTAAACAGCATATTACAGATTTTGTTTTGACTTGTTTATATGATTCAATCATGTTCTCTCACCAGCTTAAAACTACCATTCAATTAGGGGAGAACACATATTACTCATTTATCCATTCAAAAGAAAACATACGAAGACACATCTCCTAATATACCTCTTTTGTCAGTTCATACACTAATTGGTAAAGAAGAGGTGTACAGTCAACTCTGAGAGTATAATTGCCTGAAAAATAAATAAAACACAGAATATTATTTCATACTTCTAAATGAGATTCCATTTATGTTTCATTCTAAATTGATTTTCTAATTTTAAACAAGATATAATGATCTTCAAATCAAAGACTTCATTCCCAAGGAATAAAACCGGGTGGAAATATTTCTTCAGGAGCAAGAAGGGCTGCACCACATATATGAATAGAAGAAGGTCTTGGTGGACTTCAGTTGCCAAGGTAACAACTCCCATAGTGATTTTAAGAGTCATTCTATGGCAGCATTTCTTAGGGGTACTTTGGCAAAGGAAGTGGTAAGGCCATAGCATTCGTTTTTTACTTGTTTCATTCTATGCAATAATATATACCAAGACATTAGAAAAAAACATGTCAGTAATTATTATGTTCTAACATTTATTTAAAAATAACTACAATGCAATGACACCCTAGAGACACAAATCTCACATGTCAGATTCAAAAGGAGTTTGCAGTTCAAAAGGAGTAAGTACAATTACTTCAATTTTTTTTTTACAACAAATACAGGAAATATTTCTAGACAAAATATCTGTAAAATATTTCTTCTGAACTATTTCAGCCAAATTCCATTAATATGTCCATAGTGAAAAATATGTGGTTAATACTAGAGTTTTAAGTAGTAATTTAATATAGGCAAATAGTAAATATATTAAAGAAGTTAAAAGCAATAGCTTAGTTATGAATCATATCAGTTCATACGAATCCTAATTATTTTCTCTGTGGTAAAATGAAAAATAAAGGTATTACTGAGGTATCTCATAGGAAGGGGATATCTGAGGTGGTTAATAAGTTAGAATTTATAGGCTTAATGGATGGTTTACTACTCAACAGTAAGTAAAAATTATTTGAAACAAAATTTACTTTATGAAAATTTTACTATAAATTAAAATAAAATTTACCTTCTATAGATGAATCTGAGTTGATATAAGCAATGCTTCTCTCCTGGAGTATTTTGGCATTCTCCTATAGTTGAAGCAAAGTTGTTACTTAATTCACATTACTTACAATTGTGAAACAAACAAAATAAGCAAATTAATTTTGTGGAAAAGTGGTTTACAAATACCTTTCAGAATTAAATATCTATGTCTGCCTGTGACCATAATTTCTGAGAAAATGCAGAAAATCAGTTGGTTAACAACAAGTATGCAATTAATATAAGAAATAAGGATACTACGAAGCAACAGCTACTGCTTATAGCAAAAGCAGACAGCCCTTAGGGAAAAAAATATTTTCAAAGTGTGGTTCCTTGATTCCCTGAATCAGAATATGTAGGGATATGGCTCCCACATCCTAGGGCCCTGCCCTATATCTACTGAATAAAAACTGCTACAAGTGAGGCCTGGAAAATTGTTATTTTAATATTATTTTTTATTTTTTATGAGACAGCATCTGACTCTGTTGCCCAGGCTGGAGTGCAGTGGCATGATCTCAGCTCACTTCAACCTCTGCCTTTCAGGTTCAAGTGATTCTCCTGCCTCAGCCTCCCGAGTAGCCAGGACTACAGGCACGTGCCACCTACGTCCAGCTAATTTTTGTATTTTTAGTAGAGACGGGGTTTCACCATGTTAGCTAGTCTGGTCTCCTGACCTCAGGTGATCCGCCCACCTTGGCCTCCCAAAGTGCTAAGATTACAAGCATGAGTCACTGTGCCAAACGAAAATTCTATATTTTCTAATGGATATAACTAGCAATTGATTCTTACATACCCTGAAGTTTGAGATCCATTTAGAGTGGAAACCCAAGTAAATTTATCATTTCAAAAGTGAGAAATAGAAAATTTCCCTTTGTTTATATTTACTACACATATGGAGAAGTGAAATAAAAAAAGACAAAAAATTAGAGAGGCGGCATACATAAAGACAAAACAAGACACACACACACACACACACACACACACACACACACACACACACACACAAATAGATGGATCCAAGAAAGATAAAGTAAAGCAAGGCTAATTCACTTACACACAGAGGGGAACATGCTGAGAGAGCCCTTCACCTCTCTGTCTCTAGCTTGTTAGCTTTCTAAAATATATTCTAGTAAAAACATTTAAATCTGTGTGTGTTATGGCAAAAATAAAAACTGCAACTTCTTTGCACTTGCTTGCATCAGCCAGGTGATAGTTGACCCCATTATAGAGAACTATAAAATCAAAGGTTCTATTATAACAGATTTATAGTGGAAATAAAGAAAATTCCTTATTTGTATTTAAAGAAGGTAAATATGCTGATGAATATAATCAAGAACCTGGCAAAAAACTGGAAACTGTATTGAAATTGTCTTTTAATGCACATGTTTATAAATCAATGTAAAACATGTTTATTATTTTATATATTAGATTTATGTTCAGCTGCTGAAATTTAAAAAACAGAAGCACATATTTAAATATATTATGTATCACAAGAAATTACACATTTCCAAAAGCCAATGACCTTCACCCACCACAGGAGCAGGAGGAAAAACAGACCTGAACTAATAAAATTTGATTCATCAAATTAACATTACAGTTTCAAAATGCATATTAATAATATCAATGTGAAAATAACAATTCGCAGTGTAAATGTAATCAACAAAGGATAAATGATACCAGACAAGTAACTGTGAGTGGGCATTTTACCCATCTATATTTGTTTGATTCATATTGTTCTTATTATAGTATTTTAAACTAACGTAAGAGAAAATGAATGAGGAGGAAAGCATTTTTAAAACTAAACATAGTGGCAAGAGAGGTGTGCCATATTTTAAAGGAGCTCTATAAAATCTGGACTTTAAATGATAAACAGCAGATGGTGGAGGGAAGGTAAGTACTTACACAGTGCACCTACCTAGAAATAGCACTGGACCCAGCAATCCCATTACTGGGTATATAGCTAAAGGAATATACCATTTTATTATACCAAAGGAATATGCCATTTTATTATAAAGACACATACACATGTATGTTCACTGCAGCACTATTCATAACAGCAAAGACATGAATTCAACCTAAATGTCTATCAGTGATTGACCTGATAAAGAAAATGTGTTACATATACACCTTGGAATGCTACATAGTCATTAAAAGAATGAGACTATGTTTTTCTCAGGGATATGGATGGAGTTGAAGACCATTATCCTTGGCAAACTAATGCAGAAACAGAAAAGTAAGTATCACATGTTCTCACTTATAAGTGGGAGCTAAATGATGAGAACACATGGACACATAGAGGGGAACAACACACACTGGGAACTTTCAAAGGGTGGAAGGTGGGAGAAAGGAGAGGGTCAGGACAAATAACTAGTGGATACTGGGCTTAATAAAATAAAATTGGGTGATGAAATTGTCTTTCACTAGTAATATCACAATATTAGTTTCATAGACTCTCAAAAATTACTACATTTGAGTTATAGGTTAAATATTTCAAACTAAGTTTTTCCAAATCCTCTCTTCACTTACTTTTTAAAATAGTTTTTCCAATAATTTTCAAAATGCTATACATGTGAAAAACTAGGTGAAGTTAAGGTAGAGGTAAAGATGAAGAGAGAAGGGAGCCAACATTTACTGATCACTTACTGTGTGGGTTAAACGAGTTAAAATGGATAAATCACAAAGCTACTGAAAGACTCAACAGAATTGGCCAGGCATGGTGGTGGCTCAAACCTGTAATCCCAGTACTTTGGGAGGCCGAGGCAGGTGGATCACGAGGTCAAGAGATCAAGACCATCCTGGTCAACATGGTGAAACCCTGTCTCTACTAAAAATACAAAAATTAGCTGGGCATGGTGGCATGTGCCTGTAATCCCAACTACTCAGGAGACTGAGGCAGGAGAATTGCCTGAACCCAGGAGGCGGAGGTTGCGGTGAGCTGTGATTGCGCCATTGCACTCCAGCCTGGGTAACAAGAGCGAAACTCCGTATCAAAAAAAAAAAAAAAAAAAAGACTCAACAGCATTATTATTACAATTATTCTTCTTCTTAATACATGATAACACTCTTCTAGAAGAGATGTGATCACAAATTGTGTTTATGGAGCTTAGTATTGCAGAAAGAGTAAAAGTTTACCACTGGGTCAAGGCAGGCCGGAAATGCCAACTAAAGAAATCAGCTCGTGCAGAGTTGTTGAACAGTATGGCAAATCCCCATGACACAGTTTACCTGTGTAACATACCTGCACTTGTACCCCTGAACTTAAAATAAAAGTTTTTTTAAAAAGTATATGCTTATCTTTTACAATTAAGAACTTAGAGATTACTTTACAGAGAGACTAAAGGAAGAAGATGAAAGAAAAGGGGCCTAGGAGAGACCCTTAAATATAAATAATTAAGAGCTAGTGACAAATGACAATCAATCATATCTGAAGAAAATAAACCCCACCTCTGAAATTGTAAAGCAGGCCAATTTATTAAAGTAATTCAATTCACAGAATTATCACTTTATATTTAACAATGAAGCACCTATCTGTTGTAAATGCTAAAGTATACTTATGGTTGCCATTTTACATGGAATCTGTAAATGCGAAAATATCATCAACATATGGCCATCTTAATAGAACATCTTTTATTTTCTCAGATGGAAGAAGTCTAAAGAAACTTCAAAAACTTAAAAATTAGCTCCAAGAATCTGTATCAGTTTTTAGATAATTCCCTTATCAAAAACATCTTGCCAATTTTGATTACTTTCTGAGCTTACTGATTTTACTTATTTTTTATAAAACAAATACAAATGGCAACTATAATATTTTGACAAGAGACAATAAGTTTGTTTGTAGTCTAGTAATAAGAGGTTATTGCCAAACTGATGTGAAAGTAAAAACAAACCATTTCCTAAATTCTCGAGTCATTCTCCAAACCAAAACTATATTAGGTAATGGAATGTATTTTTGATCATCCCGAGATACGCGTGTGTGTGTGTGTGTGTGTGTGTGTGTGTGTGTGTGTGTGTGTGAGAGTGTGTGTGTGTGTGCATGCGCGTGTATTTATATTTATATACATGGTCCCTGTTGACCAAGAAAATAATAAGAACCTTCTTTGTCTTATTTACCTCAGCCCATTCTGTGGAACCCAGAAGTCCAAATTCTTCTGCATCCCAGCTGGCAAAAATGATAGTTCTTCTAGGTCTCCAGCCTGTAAGTATTGTCAACACACACGGTTAGGTACAGCTGCCTAAAAATAAAAGAAAATTAAGTAAGTCACTTTTTGTCATCACCTAGAAAAGAAAAGTTGTTTACCTTTACTCATCAGTTTTCCAAAACTCCGGACAATTTCTTGCAAAACAGCAACCCCACTGGTTGGGTCAACAGCTCCAAATACCCAGGCATCCCGGTGACCTCCCAGAATAACATACCTGTCTGGAAAATAGTATATTAAAAAAAAAAACCCTACAACTTTGAATACATTATAAATAATTGTAATTTATGTTTTTAAATAAACATCCCCTTGCTTGAGTTTTCTGTATAAAAGACAAGAAACACTATAAAGTCTTTGTTTAGAGTTGTACAATTTTCCCCAAAATTTAGTAGTTTCAAATCAGCCAAAAAAAAAACCCACATCAATTGCTGACTACAATTTATCTTTACTTACTCTTTAATTTTTGTAAAAACAAAATGTTTTTAAAAAATTATCTGACTCACCAGGTTCCACAGATCCTCTGATAGTCCCAATTACATTGTAAATCCTTGTAATTTTATTGATGTTATGAACATGCATTCTAACCTTCCTAGAATTTGAAAAGGAATAAATTACTTACCACAGTGAATTATGTTGAGTTTTTTACAGTGTTTTATTACAAAAAAACTATTTTCGTAATAGTGCTTTATTATGAAAAGCTGTGAAATAGCATCCCACCACCTAAATTCAATAATTGCTGACACTGTTGAACCATTTGCAAGTAAAGTAGACATTATGCAAATTTACTTCTAAGCACCTAAGCATGCGCCTTGAAGTCAAATTGTAAAAGCTGTTTTGTATTATTTTCTCATAGCTATATTGTTATTTATTTGAAATTCAAAAGAGTTTATTATTCAAAATATCTTAGATATTTATTCTAAATTTTAAAAATAGACCTTACAGAAACAAATAAGACAGTCCATTATGTAATAAAGAAAAAAAGTATAAGCATGTTATTTGAATATATCTATTTATATTTATATTAAATCCTAGATTCAGTAATTATCTTCATGATTACGGAAATAGTATGTAAGTTTAAGAGCTGGCTTAGTGTCATCTATATAAAACAGAAAATTCTGTTGTTAAATGAGAATTTCGGAAGCTCCTGCTAAAATGCACAACTATATAATGACATGTTTCTAGGCCATCCTTGTTGATTCTGATTTGGGTCAGTCTTTTAATATTCATTCATGAGTTACAATCAGCCAAATTAGAAAACTAGGGAAAATACAATCAAGCTCAGCCAGACAGGAAAAAAAACTGTTACTTGCATTTTATGAATCCAAAATAACATGGGAAATTGCTACTTTCCCCAAGAGAACAAAATTAATCTTCATTTATTCGAAGGGTAGGGAGATCTCAGTTGTTTCTAGTTTGTAATCATGTTTTAATGGAATAATGAATGAGCTGTCAAAACTTGTATATTGTTAAGAACAAATTCTGGCTTCCTCCACCCCACTAAAATACACTGTGCTTCTGATCTTTAATCCATTTGTAATATTCAACTAAAAGTACCTCAGAGTAAAACTAATCGATGGGTATTCTCATTTTTCATTTTAAGGCATTAAGTGCATGATTTCTTTTTGCTAGCAACAGATAAAAATTAATAGCAGAAAAGCAGAAATATTGTTTAGCATGTGTCTCTAAAAATATAAGCCTTGGATACATGATTAGTAAGAAACCCAAATTGGTTGGCGTTGCGTCATTAAATGAAGAAAATTAAGTAAAGAACAATGCAACATATGAGGAAGGAAAAGTTAATATTAGTCTGAACAAAAAACACAGGCTATCTGCTAAGATTCTCAAAGTGGTACATTCACATCTTTAATCCTATGTCTTTCTCGTTTTTAGTATTTTTGAGCTCCAGAAGAATATTTATTTGTCATATTATTACTTCAAACTCATCATGCTTCAAATAAATTGAGCTCTAGAATGCAGGCTCCACAGGGAGATTTTTGTCTGCTTTGTTCACTGCTGAATCCCCAGAACCCAGAATGGTGTCTATGGTATAGGAAATGCTCAATAAGTATTCACGAAATAAATGAATATGATCCTGTATGGAAAACTGGGAAAAACTTTGGCTCATCCATTATTGTCACCTCTACCTGTCAGTATCCTTAACTAGACTATATTACAGCCCTGTAGACAAAGAAGTTAACTTGTAGAAACATGATAGTAATGCAAATAATTCAAATCCACTGAAATGCACAATCTGTTTAGTGAAGGTCTGCATTCCTTTCCTCATCGTGGAAGATTTTTGGGGGTTCCACTTAGAGGTACAATGGATTCATTTTGCAGAACCAGGTATAGGCAGCTTAAACCCATTCTTCGTATCTTCTTTTGGCTCTCACACGTAAATTCTAAGCAACAGCAGAAATTTAACTTTGCTGATACTCTGTATCTTTAGCTTTTATTTTTTCGCTACTGATTTTGTGTTTTATGTTTCTGCTTTGCTTAGGGCAGATTAAGTTATTCCTCACTGGTGGCAACAATGATTGGGAATTTGCCCTTATGTCTTGTCATTTGATAATATCGGTAAATGAATTACTGGATTATCAAGTTTTCTGTGAGGTAAGACGTGAGGAAAACCAGTTTTTAGTTTTGTGGTTGTTTGTGTATTTGTCCACTTTGAGTTAAAACCAATAGAGAATTCTGTGCTCACAGTGAAGGAGCACAGTTTTTTTATATCTAGACCTAGGAATGTTTATGATGTTGAGTTTACTCTTTGTGACTAAACTTGTAAAACTGAAGTTATATGTTTTCTCTGTCTGTTATGTTTCTGTTTGTAAATCAAAAAGCCTTTATCTTTCATTGAGTAAGTTATGTTTTACTTCCTCTGGAAGATATACACAAATTTGATAATAAAGTCTCTTAAATTAAAAGAATACTGTTCTGATTGAATTTTAGAGATAAATAAACACATATAAATCAAACATTTCTAAACTTACTATAAAACAAGGAAATTGGACTTCTAATACTTTAAGCTTTCTGGAATAAGAGAATTCCTACAGAAACTACAAAAATATTCTGAGAATCCAAATTCACATAGTCAGGGTAAACTGTTAGCAAACAAGACTGATTTAATAATTTTGGTTTAATAAAAGCAGCCATATGATTAATCAGTGCTACATTTCCCTCTTCTATTACATTTCAGGCAAATCAAACTTCTTAAAGTTCTGATCATGCCATGCTATTCGACAACCCTGTACAAACAAGCTGATTTCTCTAGCTGGCATTTCCTGTGTGCCTTGACCCAGTGGTAAGCTTTTACTCTTTCTGTTAGAATAAATTTGATAACACACAATTTGTGATCACATCTCTTCTAGAAGAGTGTTATCATGTATTAATAAGAATAATAATTGTAATAACAGTTCTATTGAGCCTTACAGTACCTATGTGATTTACCCATTTTAATTCATTGAAGCCACACAGTAAGTGATCAACAAATGTTGGCTCCCTTCTCTCTTCATCTCTAACTCTCCCTTAGCTTCACCTAGTTTCTCACATGTATAGCATTTTGAAAGTTATTTGAAAAACTATTTTAAAAACTAGGTGAAGAGAGAATTTTGAAACACCTAGTTTGAAATGTTAAACCTGTAACTCAAATGTAGTAATTTTTGAGACTCTATGAAACTAATGTGATATTACTAGTGAAAGAATTAAATTTTTCATTTAGTAAGTACTTTTTAAGTAATTTAAATGATCAGTTGTTTAGCAGTGAAAATGGGAAAAGAGATAAGCAAAATGTACCTAGTAGAATAGTTATCTCAACATGTTTTCATTAAAAATATAAAACTTTTTCAGGCTATTAAAGTAATGCAAAATTACCTGAAAGAATGACTCCCTGTAAAGCCAGGTCCAATATTATAACTCACATTAAGGGCTCCCTTCCAGCTCTCATCTGGTGGAGCGATTCCTCCCAAGTGGCTGTCAAAATAAAATGAAAATGGCAGAAAAAGGCTGAGTATCACAATTTCTAAGGATAAATTATAAAGTTTGATGAGAATATTTTATTCATATATATAAGAATTATTTGTCATTTACTAAGTGCCAGGTACTGTCAAAAATCTCTCCCCTTGTGGAATTCATATTCTAGTGAGAGTCATACCAAAATCAGTGTACAATACATAATATGTTAGTGATAAGAACAAAGAAAAAATAAAATAGTGATCACAAATGGCAAGCCCATCTCCTTATGTTTGACCTTAATTATGTGGGAACTTACTGAATCCAAGAAGTCTTAAATACAGGAAATTAATGGCTGCATTAACGAGAAGAAATTAATTTGTAAAGAAGCAGCTGATTACACAGTAGGCACTCACACAATTATTAAGTTGTAATAATCATACAGGCATTAAAAATGAGAGTTGGGAGATATGTAAAGAAATATCAGTTATAGAATACAATAATAATTGTTTGCTATATTCTAAATATGGTATTAAGTATTTTATACATATGATCTCATAATAATTCTATCAAGGAGTAATAGTTACTAGCATCATCTTACAAATAAAGAAACTGAGTCAGAGAAAGTTTAAGTAACTGGTCCAAGGTCATACCTCTGGTAAGTGGGGGACACTGTCATATTCTTATACTGAACATCGAGTATAAGTATCTAATTAACACCTATGAAAATTCAATTGCTTGATAAATCTCCAATCAGAATTATCTTTGGACATAGTTTGGTATTTGAGAATTTCATTTGTAGCAAACAGAGCAGTATTTTTAGTTTTATTTCTTAGTCACTAAACTGACTACTTTTCTAAAATAAAAATACAGTTTACTCTGTTATTCCTACAACAGGACTTATTTAGTTATAAAACTTTAAGTTTAACATAAGAATGCCATGTAAGTTTTTGATGAGAAAACAGGCACCTAGTGCAAAATATCTTAATCTCATAACCAACAAGAAAACTATACCGTAATAATATTTCTGCATCATTATATCCAATAGGATGTACAGGTATTTTGGGGATTCCCACTCCTTCTTCAACATCAAGTCTGAAAGTGTATTCTAAAACATCAAATGCATAAATGAAAACAATTTAAAAATCTGAGCAAGAGATATACAGGAATATTTTGCATTACTATTGCAGATTTGCTATTCATTTGCAATTATGCCAAAATTAAAAGTTCCCCCAAAGTCAAATAATTATTTTACTTAATACATTCTATTTAATAAATCATTTACATTTTAAGGTAGAGGTGATCGTTTCCCAAAGTTGTTTTGACATTTCACATAATTCTCTTGACGTTTACAAGAATATTTTAGTTCCTCAAGGATCTCCTGAATCCCTCTCAGAGAAACTTTATTAACCAGATGCTTAGAAAGTGTGTCCCAGATTCTGAAACTATAAATAAATGGAAAAAAAAAAAAAAACAAGGGAACGTATGCACTCTTGGGAATAAATGAGAAACACCGTATTCAAATAGTAATGTCATATATTATTATTCAAGGAAGATTGAAAAATATTGCCAGCCTTAAAACCTCACTGGAATTGTGGCTTTTAGACAGAGTTAAAGGGACCCAATTTACCTTCATGCTTGAAACACCTTATTTTTAATTCATCTTATTTTATGTAAATGAAACACTTAAAAAATAATAAAATGTATAAAACAATAGTTCTATCATGAGATTTTTATTATTTAAGTAGCTTCACAAGATAACTGATGCTGAAACAAAAATTTTAACAATATAATTACACAGTAAATCAGTAAGTATATAAGACTTTAATAACACTACTAACTTCACCTAGTTGACATTTATAGAATACTCCAACCAAAAACAGAACACACATTCTTTTCAAGTGCATATAGAATATATTAGATAGACCATATTCTTGGCCATAAAACACATATCAGTAAACATAAAAATCATACAAAGTATGTTTTCTGACCTAAATGGAATAAAATTAGAAATCAATGTTAGAATGATACCTAGAACATCCTCAAATATTTTAAAATTAAATAACACATTTATAAATAAACCATGGGTCAAAGTAGAAGTGAAAAGCGAAATAGAAAGTATTTGGAACCAAATAAAAATAAAAACACTAAGCCTAGGCAACACAGAAAGACCTATCACTAAAAACAAACATTAAAAAATTAGCTGAGCATGGTAGCACATGTCTATAGTTCCAGCTACTTGGGACACTGCGGCAGGAGAAACACTTGAGTCTGGGAGTTTGTGGTTACAGTGAGCTATGGTTAGACCACTGCACTCCAGCCTGGGTGACAAAGTGGAATCCTTATCTCCAAAATAAAATAAAACCACAATAAATTAAAATCTGTAGGATGGAGCTGAAGTAGTGCTTATAGAGAGAGGTATAGCACTAAATAATCCATCTTAGGAAAAATGTTATGCTTCCGACAAATGACATCAGATTCCACTTTCAGAAACTAGAAAAAGAACAAATAAAGGCCAAAATAAGCACGAGAAAAGACGTGATAAATATCACAGCAGAAATCTAAGAAACAGAACTGGCTGGGTTCCTGGTAGCTCATGTGTGTAATCCCAGCACTCTGGGAGGCTAAGGCAGGAGGGTTGCTTGAGTCCAGGAGTTTGAGACCAGCTTGGGTGGCATAGCAAGACCTATGTCTATTAAATTTAAAAAAAAGAAACAGGAAACAAAAATAATGATAATCAATGAAACCCAAAGCTAGTTACTTGAGATCAATGAAACTAACAAACTTCCAATAAGACAGATCAGGACAAAAGGAGAAAAGACTAAATTGCTAAGAATGAAGAATGAATCCATCAAAAATGAAGGATAGAATATCACTCTAGTACCTGCAGACAGAAGAATAGTAATAAAATATTATAAACCACTCTATGCTCATAAATTAACAACTTAGATGAAATGGACAAAAATCTTTGAAAAATACAAACCACCATCGCTCAAGAAAAAACAAACAAACTACATATATATATATATATATATATATATATATATATATATATATGAAAGAAATTCAATTTGTAGTGAAAAACAGTTCTACATGAAAAACTTCAGGCCCACATAGACTCCTGGGGAATTCTACCAAACATTTACAGATAACATTGAACCCATTCTTTATAAACTCTTGCAGAAAAGTAAAGATAAAATAGTTCCCAACTCATTTCTAAGAGGCCTGTGATACCAAATGACACAAAGATTTTGCAAGAAACTAAATCTACTAGTTAATATCCCTCATGACCATAGAAAGAAACACAGTTAAGAAAAAAATATCAAAAATTCAACAAAATATAAAAGGATAATACATTGTTACCAAACAGGTTTTAGAATGAGATGGTTGGATTAACATTAAATACAATAATATAATTTGACAAAAGTAAATAATAACATATGATCATCTCCACATACATAGAAAAAGCATTTGCAAAATCCAATAAATATTCCTAATGAAAACCCTCAGTATATCAGGATAGAAGTAAACTTCCTCAGTGGGACAAAAGGAATCTGTTAAAAAACTAGAGCTAGCATAATATTTAACAGAGAAAGATTGGATACTTTCCCAGTTCAAACAAATAAACCAAAGATGTCTGCTGTAACAACTTCTATTCAACACTGTACTGGAGTACCTCCATAAATTGTATGTGAAAAGAAAGAAAGAAGAAAACATTGTCCTGGGGTTCTAGCCAGTACAATCAGCCAAAAGAAAGACAAAAAGAAAGAAAGAGAAAAGAAAAAAAAAAAAAAACGAGAGAGAGAGAGAGAGAACGAAAGAAAGAGAAAAGAGAAGAGAAAAGAAGAGAAGAAAAAAGAAGAGAGAGAGAGGTGGCGGGGGGGGCGAGGAAGGAAGGAAAGAAATGCATCCAGGTTGAAAACCAAGAAATAAATTATCTTCATCTGCAGATGACATAATCATTTATATAACAGTGCTGATAGAAGCTACAAAAACCTAGCAGAATCGATGAGTTTTACAAGTTTGCAGGATACAAGACCAATGTATTTCTTTTAGAAATAGAATAGTGTTTGTTTCCCAGTAATGAAAAATTGGCATTGAAACTTTATAATAGCATAAAACTGAAATGTTTGTGAATAAATCTGACAAAATGTGTGCATGATTCATACAGTGAAACTATAAAACTTTCCTGAAAGAAATTAAAGAATGTAGTTATATTTTATTTATGGATCAGAAAATTCAGTATTGTTAAGATATCAAGTCTCCCCAGATTTACCTATAGATTTCATTCAATCTCAGTCAAACTCTCAGGAGGCTTTTTGGTGGAAATTGTAAATTAATTATAAAACTCACATGGAAAGGACCAAAATTAGACACAACTTTTTGAAAAATAGAAGAGTTGTAACCTGGAAAACTTACACATCTGTTAGAATGTAAAATTTAAAAGACTGACATACTAAATGTTAGTGAGGACGTAGCAAATAGAACACTCATACATTGCTGTTGAAATACAAAATGAAACAACTTCAGAAAACAATTTTAAAATTTCTGCAAAAGTTAAATATCTAACTACCATATTTTTCAGGCAGTCCACTTCCAGATATTTGCCCATGAGAAATAAAAGAATATGTACATGCAAAGTCTTGTACAACTGTTCATTACACCTTTATGTGTAATAGCCCCCACACTGAAAGCAATCCAAATGTCTATCTACAAGTAAAAGAATAAACTGTGGTATAGCCATTCAAAGGAATAGTACTCAGCAAAAAACAACAAACAAACAAACAAACAAACAAAAACAACAACTATTGACACATATGCCAACATGGACAGATCTCAAAATAATCATGCTGACAGCAAAATGCAGTATCAGTGGTTGCCTAGCGATTGGCATGAAGGGGGCAGGAAGAGTTGGGAGGGTGAAAATATAGAGACACAAGAAGAAGCTTTTTTTGGGATAATGGTTATGTTCATTATTTTGATTGTAGAGATATTTTCCACATGTAGGTCTTCAAATTTTATGTTTTAAATAACACAAAAACTCATTTAAAAAAAATAGAAATGAGCCGGGCGCGGTGGCTCAAGCCTGTAATCCCAGCACTTTGGGAGGCCGAGGCGGGTGGATCACGAGGTCAAGAGATCGAGACCATCCTGGTCAACATGGTGAAACCCCGTCTCTACTAAAACTACAAAAAATTAGCTGGGCATGGTGGTGCGTGCCTGTAATCCCATCTACTCAGGAGGCTGAGGCAGGAGAATTGCCTGAACCCAGGAGGCGGAGGTTGCGGTGAGCCGAGATCGCGCCATTGCACTCCAGCCTGGGTAACAAGAGCGAAACTCCGTCTCGGGAAAAAAAAAAAAAATAGAAATGTATGATACAAAGAAAGACACAACCCCTGGGTAATTCAGCATACCTAAATTATCATTTGTTAAGGGAGCATTACTTTAGGTATGAGGATCAGTAGTTCTGAACTCTAATAAAGGGAGAAGGAGAATATGAACTGAGTGCTCCCTCCCCATGCCCACATCTCATGAAAATTTAAAACTGAAACAATACAAGAGCAAATGTTTTAAAATTCCTAGCAGCAGTAATCCAAAATGATGTAAGTGTACCCCATTTTAGTTTAATACTATTCTGAACATGCTTGCTTTTATTCCTTCTAAAAGGGCAAGGGGTATTTTTGAAAAATTGGAGGACTGATAGGCTCATCCTTTACCTTTTGCTGGATAGCCTGGAGTGAGTGGGTCACCAGCACCATTCAAATTTAACACATTTCCTCTCTGGGCTGCAGTTCCAGGAAGATTCCATCCTTTGGGATACGGCTGTATCTCAGGAGCAAAATAGTCAGCTGGATCTGAGTACAAGATGATTCCTATGGCTCCTGCTAACATGGCATTTTTAACCTGCGAGGGCAATGTGCGATTCAAAATGCAGATATGGCAAACAATTGGCTTATTCATATAAGAAAGACATTAATTTAAGAATGCAAGGATATTTAGACACTGCCTTTTATTATACCATTGCACATTCCGTTCTCTTGGCTTTGAACACAATTTACCACCTGTTGAATCTCACAGACTTCCATTAGTTTATGGTCTTCTAAACAAGTTATCACTTTTTCTGTGAAACATTTATATTATTCCCTACAACTGTAGGATTAATGTCCCTTCTTTGTAGTTCTATATTTTCTGTATTATAGGATAGCTCATAATGCATTAAAATATCTTTTAAATGTCTATCTCCCTATTAGACTGAGGACGTTTTTGAAAACATGAACCATGTCTTCTTAACTTTAAACGACTGCCTTCTAAAAGCTTGCACATCATAAAAACTCCACAAATATTTGTGGAACTACACTGATTTAAAATTCTATGCAGAGCAGTCATATTTTTGTGAAAAATGGCCCAGGGTTTTTGTAAACATCTAACAATCCAAACTGGCCTAGAATAGGAAAATGTACCCTGTGAGATAATAAATTCTGCTTCTCCAAAAGTGTTGTAACAGAAGATGAATAATGGTCTTGATTCATAAAAATGTATTCCAATATTTAGAAAGCACCCTGTTTTGCCACTAAGAGTATAATCTGTCATAACTTTTTTGATGGAAAATTGATGTCTATCAAAATTTTGAAAGAATATATGCTATTATTTAGCACTCTAACTTCTGGAAATCTTTACCACAATAATCTTCACACAAATTTTTGAAGTATATATGAACAAGGATGTTCACAATGAAATTATCTGTAGTGGTAACAAACTCAAGATAAGACAAACATTATCAGTAGTAGAATGGTTAAATAAATTGTTTATCAATTCTGTGAAATATGATGCCATCATTTAAAATAGTGAGGTAATTAGTAAGCAGTTATGTAGAAATTACTAAGTATCAGCCACTATCCTAAGTGCTTTCAAACGAAGTCATTCGATAAAGACTCTATCAGATTGGTGCTATCATTGGCATTTGCATTTTATACATGAGGAAGCTTTGCAACAGAGAAGTAACATACTCACAGTAAAAGATCTAGAATAAATAGAAGGCAGACTAGACCAGAACCCAAGTGATACGGATCTAGGGGTTCTATACTCTTAGCCAGTGTATTACATAACTTTTAATATGAGTCATGGCTGAATGAAAAAAATAAAGCCATGTAATAAACAGTGTATAATGCCCTCTTTGTAAAAGCAGATAAATAAATGTATGTAAAATGGGCATATAGGGACAGATGTATTTATATTTCACAGAATTAGGTTTGAAAAAGCTATTAAGATTAATTATATTTGGACAATGAAGCGGGTAAAGCAGGGGAGCTTTTCATTTTTCACTGTATATAAATTTTCTTAAATTTCTAAAAGCAAATATTACTTTTGTAATAAAAATGATTAAAAAATAATTTTCTTTTCCAGGTATGTGAGAAAACATAAAAACATGAGTTTCTGTGTACCCATGGCGAATAAGAAAAAAAAGAAAATAAATATTTGAAAGCTATTTTGGAAACTGAGAAGCAAGTTGGTCATTTATAGTTTATGCGTATATATATATATATATATATATATCCTCTTATTCTCTCTAGAAAAATACTATACTTTATTTCCTCTGAAGATTTTTCCATATCTTGCAATAACAATCTTCCCAGTACAGTTGATGCTCATCTCTCTTTCTAGTTTGAAGAAGTCTTCAGTGCGAGCATAGTTTACATATACAAGATCTCCCTATAGGGAAAAGAAAATATATATAATACTGCTAAAATTAAAGAAAAAAATAAGTTTGCTTCACAATACTACATCATCGAAAGTGTCTCCTTTCTTTATTTGGGGAATAATAAACAGACCCATGGTAATTATGCAGAAGTCAGTAGAGAATCTTATAAAATCCTGAAGATTTAAAAAATGACAAATGTATAACATTTCTTTATTATTTTGGGCACGGAATTTCACTCTGTCGCTCAGGCTGGAATGCAGTGCGCTATCTCTGCTCACTGCAACCTCCTTCACCTCCTTAGTGCGAGCAATTCTGCCTCAGCCACCAGAGTAGCTGCGATTACAGACATGCACAACTACACCCAGGTAATTTTTGTATTTTTTAAGAGTAGAGACAGGATTTCACCATGTTTGCCAGTCTGTTCTTGAACTCCTGACCTCCAATGATCCGCCCACCTCAGCCTCCCAACATGCTGGGATTGCAGGTGTGAACCACCACACCCAGCCAGACATATTTAAACAGTGTGTTCTGTTTTGAAGAAATCAGTGTATACTAAGCCACAGGAAATGGAGTAAACAAATGTCATTTTAAAAATCCTAACTATTTAATTTCCAACTATTGCATTAAGAAATTCTATGACATCATCTATAAGATTATGTCTATGAATCCATAAAAAATTCACATTAAGAACAATGGAAAGAAGCTTGTAAAAACACCTACTGCCCTCACTATATTAAAGGCATTTTCAGCAGTTTCTTTGTTATTTCAAAGACTGGTATCTGCTTCAGCAGGGTCTGTTTTTAATGTATTTGTTTTGTTTCTTTTTTCTCTGTCTGGTGTTTTTTTCTATTTTATTTTATTATCATTTTTTAAATTTGGGGATGAGGTGTTGATAGTACAGAATACCAAACAATTGGTTTTAGTGCTCTATACAGCTTTTAGATAGCAAAGGAACCATTTAAAAACTTGAATTAAAGTGTATTTTATTTTACCTCTGGCATGCCCTGGGCTGAGAAAGCATTATATGGTGGCACAATATTTGTGACATTCTCATATCCATCTGGTGGTGGTTCAAGGTATGATGTTTTGAAAATCTAGCAAGAATTAGAACATGTCATGTGGGAGAGAAAAATTCCAGATTATTGTTAAGGTATAATTCATTTGGCCTCCAAGTACATGCTTCACAATAAGCTTCCTGGAACTAGGTTCTATAATTAAATAGATAAATTACACTGACAACACTGAGGAAGAGTCTTATCATTATCACTGTTTTCCTAACAAGAGAAACTTTTATAAATGCATGCAATCCCAGATAACCAAAAATTTTCCTATAAAGTTTAACAGTAGGGCGGATCCTCATTTTTTGACTATGCGCCTTTTCAGTTTCCTTTGTGGCCTCCTTTTCTTTCATCTTTATTTAAATAATATTAACCAAAGTTTTATCCCCAGCCCATCGCTTACCTCTATACTCCCTCCCTGTGAGACTTGACTATCAAAATTTTACCAATAGCTAATATGCTTATGATGTTTTCCTTTCCAGATTCATTTAAATGTTTGATGGTTATTTCATCTTTGATGTCCAAACTCAACATGTTAAAATTCATATTTATCATCTCCCACCCCTGAGCCTGCTTTTGGTCTGCATTTCCTACCTCTGTTAATACCTTCAGTCATTAGTCACCCACATCAGACAGTCTAGGAGTCATCCTGAACTCTATCTTCCCCTCCTTCCCCAAGTCAATCACTAATCAAGTCCTGCTAATACATTTCTTTACTATTTCTGAAATCCATCCCTTTTCCTCATTCTTACTAACTTCCTAATTTAAAGCTTTATTATCTTTTACCTGGACAATTGTTTTAAGACTACAAATTTAACCCCTTGCCTAGTCTAGGTGTAATCTACAGATGGCCCCGTCTATCAGAAATGACCCTCCAGCCACATCCTTCCCCTGCTCAAGACTGGTCATTGGCTCCCATGAACTGAAGCTGAAGTTTAAGCTCCTTAGGACAGCATGCAAGCCCTTCTGTGATCTGTTCCCAGAACCTAACTACTGGTTTATCTCATATCATGGCCCACTTTGTATTTTACACTTTTGAAATACAGAAAATCATTACATTCTCCCAACAATGCTAAGCTAGTATATGCCTCCAAGCCTTTGCCAAAAGTTTGTTTTTTGTTGAGAATTCTCTTAGCTTATTTTGTCATGTGGTTAACTCCTTATGCCCTTCCATGACTCACATGTCAAGACTTCAGGGAACCTTCTTTAACTCCCAGGCTGGGCTGAGTGACCCTTTCCTGGGTAAATAATGAACTCTGATCATACCCTTCATAACACTTATTAGACAAATTTGAAGTCTGAAATGTTCCATTGTCTGCCTCACCTTACTTAGACAAAGGAACCATGTCCTAGTCTTCATTTTGGTCTCAGGACTTAACACCATGTCTAAAGACATAGTGAACACAGAATAATTCACTATTAACAGATTTCTACTTTTACTTCACCCTACATTACAATCCACATAAAGCAGCTGGACTGTAAAATACAAAAAGTACCAACGATTTCACATTACCTCAATGCCATGTTCATTCACAGTCGATATATAGTTGGCATTTGTCTCATTGGGGTAAGATAAGAGGACATCGTAATGAACCAACTTGGCGGAATCTAGTCCAAATTTCTTCCACTGGGTTTGGATTTTCTTGGCAAGCAAGAAATTTTCTTCTGTTCCTGCCAGATGAGGAAGCTTTGTAAAAGAACTAAAATGAAAATAAAATATAAGAGGGAGCTAAAGACTATGCTCAGACAATGCGCCTAAAAACTATTCTAAACGCACTACTTACGCTTTGGGCATTACCATTTCTATATGACACATACAAGAAAATCAGCTAGTGTTATCAGTTTTTAGATAGGCCAATTTTTAAGTTACTTATATACAACTATAGTGTTCCTATTACGCTTCCTCAGAAGAGAACACATTCCATGGTAAACACCATCAGCAGAGGCTCAGATATGAGAAGATACCCTGGAAGAATGTCATACTTCTATACCAGTAATGTTCCTTTTTGCTGTTTATCAGAAAACAAAGACATTTTGGGAAAAGAAAATAGATCTTAATATCTCACAGTGAGCACGTGGGCACTTCCACGTTTAACTTAAACAGTTCTGTAACCGGGTTTTTGGGGTGCTGGTGAGGCACAGCTCCCCGGAGAGAATGTTGTAGGTTCTTGGTCTCCGAGAGGGCGCAATAAGCTCATCAAGGTGCGTGGTAACCTTGTAAAGTAAGTACCGGACCCAAGAAGTGTTACAGAAAGGTCATTTTATTTAGGTAGAGAAAAGAGGGGAAAAAAAGAGAAGACAGAAAAACTTCCACAATGAGTGTGGAAGGGGACTCCAGAGGGGAAATCCAGGAGGGGGAACAGAGCTCCTGCTCTGTGGGAAGGGATTCCAGGGAGCTGGAAATCCCGTGTGGGTGAAGGAGCAGGGGAATTTATCCTGGGAGACGAAAGGAGTTCCTTTAAACTTTGGCTGGGGTGATTGAATCTTAGTTTCTTCCCATGCCCGTGAAATTCAAACATAAATAGTTAAATCTCGCGAATGGAGAGAGATGGGAGGGGGTCATGGCACTGGGAAGTTCTTGCACTTAAAACTATGCCCCCTTGTGGACCCGGAAAGAGAACACATTCCCTCATTTCTACTGTTGATTGGCACATGTATTCTGATGCTTTTTTTATCTCATTGATGTCAAGGTCCACGGATTTTTAATATCCCCTAGTGCTTAGTTCTTGCCTTTACCCAAAAAGTATGGGCTTGCTGTATTTAATTTGGGCAGTGTACTCTTGGCTCTGGATGTAAATAAGTTGGAACATTTAAGTGACCTCACAAACATAGTTCTTAGTGAGATTTCTTTAACTTGAGGCAAATAATATTTTCAAAGTCCCTGGCTGGGCACAGTGGCCCACGTCTGTAACCCCAGCACTTTGTGAGACTGAGGAGGGTGGATTAGCTAAGGTCAGGAGTTCAAGATCAGCCTGGCCAACATGGTGAAACCCCATCTCTACCAAAAAATACAAAAAAATAGCCAGGCATCGTGGTGGGCACTTGTAACCCCAGCTACTTGGGAGGCTGAGGCAGGAGAATCACTTGAACCCAGGAGGTGGAGGTTGCAGTGACACGTGATCGAGCCACTGCCCTCCAGCCCCGGGATACAGAACAAGACTGTTTGAGGAAAAAAAAAAAAAAAGGAAAAAATTCAAGTCCCCCAACCATCAGTAGAGCAAAAAGAAAAATCCCTTTAAAAAAACTTTTTTTTAATTAACCAAATGACAGCCATAAAATATATGGCAGTAGAAGGAAATTAACATTTATTAAAAACCTGCTGTATGACAAGCGCTCTATGGTCACTTTCACATATGTTTCTCATTTAATCATCATAATCCTTCTTCCATCATTCCCATTTTGCAAATGAGGAAAATGAGTGGCTGAATAATCTACTCATAATTTCGCAGCTAATAAATGATGGAACTGGAATCCAAAACTGCAGTTATCTGATCTTGAGAAATAGTGATATTTCTAAATAATTCATCTGCTCTTATTCTCCATGTGCTTAAAATTATTCTACAACTCCCTATACCCTGCATTATAAAGTTCACACGCCAACATGTCATCTCTGGCACTTTTAGGTCAGGGCCTCTCTTCTGTCTTTTCAGATTAATTCCCCATCACTCTCCTACAAACTTCTCTGCTCTCTGTCATTGAGAATATTATTTTTCTCATAAAGTTATCATGATTTTTAATACCTTTTAGCCTTTGCACAATGTCTTATCTCAGACAAAAATATTGTCCTATGTACTAGAATCTCCCTCTATCACCACTTCTACTCATTCTCCTTTCTCACTTGCAAGCTATTAATCATTCATAAGGACGCTTCAAGCATCATCTCTGAGATGTCCTTCTCTATGTCACAAAGTGAAAACTGCAGGTAGCAGATGTTTAATTTCTTACCGTATTTGTTTTAAAAAGTACAAATGTGTTCAGACAGAAGTGATTTTATATGTGTAGGAATAAGAAAGCACAAAGGCTAGTGATATTTAATTTCTACTTTATACAATTTATTATTTTCATTCTTACCAAAAGCAGATAGGATTAGAAAAATCATACAAATTTCCTTAAATTAGCAGGGAGGATTAGCCATGAATTTTTTTCCTCCCATCTTTTCGAGAACCCCCTGAAATAAAATAGAAAAGTACAGAAAAAGAGTAGGAAGGTATAACATCCTAGAGTTTCTCTGTATGATCCCAAGATGAGTATTACAGCTCCAGGCATACAAACTCACTCAGAAACTTCAGGAGAAGGAAGTACAAACTAGAACAACTATTCCTTCTTTTGTGTTTAACAAAGGAACATTTTTGTAGATGATCTCAGCTAAGTTTTTCTCCCATTTTATTAGGCAAAATCGGGTCATTTACCCCTTCTCAAACCAATCATTGCCAGACAGTAGATAATTATAATGATTGGCTTATGGACTAATCAAGAGACTCCTGGGGTGGGAGGAAGGTAACCGTCACTGAATACATCCCCTCCAAAAGGGAGGGAGAACACTCCAAGTCGAGGTTATATTAATAAGAAGGTGGCTGGGAGGAATAAAATTATTCCTACCATTAAGCTCTTTAACCCAATCGTCAAGCCCTCCTTTGCCTTCTAAACTCTTCTGCTGTGCTCACTAACCCTTTAGATCTACACTCAACAATTCACCTGTATCTGCAGCACCGTCTCTGAATATTTCATTGATCTCCTTGTCTTAACTGGTTTCCTCTGAGTACCCTGCTCACCTGCAGGGTGTTTTATTTTCCATGACACGACATATCTCGCGGCTAAAGTTCAGCTAGGAGGCTGTCTTACTCTCCATTGGCTCTTTCATATACATCTTTTTCTTCTTTCAAAACTAGCAGCCTTATTTATTTATTTATTTATTTTTGAGACAGAGTCTTACTGTGTCGCCAGGCGCCAGGCTGGAGTGCAGTGGCACAATCTCGGCTCACTGCAACCTTCGCCTCCCAGGTTCAGGCAATTCTCCTGCCTCAGCACCCTGAGTAGTTGGGACTACAGGCACACACCACCACGCCAAGCTAATTTTTAGTAGAGACAGGGTTTCATCATGTTGGTCAGGATGGTCTCGATCTCTTGACCTCATGATCCACCTGCCTTGGCCTCCCAAAGTGCTGGGATTACAGGCTTGAGCCACCGCGCCGGTCTGCAGCTTTTTTGAAGCTTACACCAGAACTCACCACCCACTACACCTTCTAGGTACTGTCATCTACAAAACTGTGGGTCATGCCTCTTCATTCATTAAAAGTTGGGAGCCCCTAATATGCTGTATTTCCCTCTATCCCTGTTTTCGTAATCATTCTTGGTGTATAATTTTTGTATTTGGTTGGATTCAAACGAAAGGAAAAGCAACACCAAGAAGATATTTGATCATCATGAAAACTATTCAACGATTGTTTATGAACTTATGCATATTATACCCTAAAGCATAATACTAGTAATATAAATCGATTATTTTAATGTTTAGTCAAGAGCATTATCGTATTTTACTTCTGATGCCTCATGTCATTTTCTAGGACCTTTCATTTGGACACTTGATGATACGCTGCAAACAAAGTTCAATAGTGTTAACATCTTACCTGGCCTTTTAAGTTAAGCAAATTTAAATGTAAGCACTCTGTCTCGCTTGGTAAGACATTCATGGCTGGACATGATGACTGACGCCTCTAATCCCAGCACTTTGGGAGGCTGAGGCAGGTGGATCATCTGAGGTCAGGAGTTCAAGATAAGCCTGGCCAACATGGTGGAACCTTGTCTCTACTAAAAGTACACAAACTAGCTAGGCGTGGTGGTGGCTGCCTATAATTCTAGCTCCTCAGGAAGCTGAGGCAGGAGAATCACTTGAACCCCGGAGGCAGGGTTGCAGTGAGCCAAGATTGTGCCACTGCACTTAAGCCTGGGCAACAGAGCAAAACTGTCTCAAAACAAACAAAACCCCAAACACTGCCATTCTATTCCATTGCATGAACCATGTATATAGACTGAGTCTCTCTTCAAGTGATATTCATCCCACTACCTACTCATTCTTTTCCTGTATCATCAAAAAAGCACCTCAAAACAGATATTTTGGATTAGCCTCTTAAATCTGATGTGCCTAGATGATAAATAAGCTCAAATTTTATAAGAACGGTAAAGCTGTTTTTATTCCTCATTACAATAGCTCACTCTAGTTTATCCATAGACACTAACATGGAACCTTGTGATGTCAGCAAACCATAGCACAGATGCGCAGAAAATAGAGATCGTACTCAGCTTATGATGAGGTTATGTCCCCATAAACCCACTGAACGTCAAAAGTATTACTAAATTGAAAATGCATTTAATACTTTGATAAATCCATCATAAAGTTGAAAAATTCTAAATCAAACCATCCTAAGTCAGGGATTATCTCTTAACTGCAGTGTATGCATTTCCCTGGGTATATTTGTCTCTAGGGTTTAACTGGAGTATTAGAAGAAGAGAAAGAACGGTGCAGAAAAATATTTTAAGAAATAATAAACAAGACTTTCCTAAATTAATGGAAGACATAAATTTACATCATTAAGAAACTCAGAGAGTCCAAACAGGCTAAATTTAAAGAAAACTATGCCTGGACACATAGTAAAACTACTGAAAATCAAAGACAAAAATGATACGTTACATGATTTAATCA